AAAAAAAAAAAAAAAAAAAAAAAAAAAATTAATAGACATCTGATAAGTATAAAATGAAATAAGCTATCAACTAAATCTATACTAATATTATAAAGAGGTAAAGTTTGAAATCAGATGAGTAGTTTTGGAGGTAATCTCCAAAACTACTCATCTGATTTCAAAAATTCTTTCATCAATATTTAGAATAGACTTTCAGGGTGAACATAGGCTATATATTATTCCATTAAACATTCATATAAATTAAAAGATATCATCTAGGTAAGTGTTATATTTTTGGTGTCAGTGGGTGGCAAGGGGCAAGATGTATACGTATACAAGATAGGTAACCGCGCGGCGCAGTCACATGATTGATGAGATATGCAATGCACGTGTTCGAACTTGTATATTATATAGATGTTGAAATTCCACCCGCGTGGGAGAGGGACAAAATTAAGGCTCACCGTGAAGAACTCGGCTTCTATTATACTATTTTAGATGCATTTTTGATTGTGTTTTAATAGGGTATGTCAAGAGAATGTACACTAAGAAGGGATTTTTCGAAATTCCCTCCCAAGGGGAGTGTTATACATTTATAATAGATACATTTTGAGCCATAGCAACACGTGGCTGGGTACAGCCAGTATATCTATAAATACCATGCCTATAGAGAGAGAGAGAGAGAGTTTATTGGGTTGTTCGGAAAGTAAGTTCGTTTTTTTTTTCCACTAGACGGATTAGTCATATTTTCCCCCCCATTTTCGTTCTAAACCGTATTATCATTATATATTTTGACAGCTAGCATTTTAGGGACTATTTGTAAAAAATTTTGTTTAATTTCGTGCAATTGTTTATTTTTTGTGTCCCATCAAATATGGAAGATCGAAAGCAGAATCTTTGGCATATTTTGCATTTTTATTACCAAAAAAATAAAAATGCTGTTCAAGCAAGAAAAAAAACATGTGACATGTATGGTGGAGATGTGTTGACAGAACGACAGTGCCAAAACTGGTTTACAAAATTTCGTTATCGCAATTTCAGTATTGAAGATGCACCACGTTATGGATGGCCAATTGAAACCAATGAAAACAAAATAAAGGTACTGGTTGAAGCAAACTGACAAATAACACGTGAGATTACTAAGAGATGAAATTTGTCAAATTGAACTGTTTATGATTACTTTAAACAAATTGGTTTCGTTTCAAAGCTTGATATATGGGTTCCATATGTTCTTAAAAAGAGATGCTCTCGTTGGTGGAATTTTAAGAAAATTTTTGTTTTTGGAGCTTTTATTAGACAATTTAAGAATTGATTCAAAAGTGTACTGCCATCCAGTAAACAAATTGAGTAATATCATCAAACAGAAAAGGTGGCCAGAATTGATCAACAAAACAGGTGTAGTGTTTTACCACGATAATGCCAAATTTCACACAAGTTTGGTAACTNCAAATGTATTCTAAAACATATATTTATTAATTAATGTAACTGTATGTATTAGAAGAATTAACAAATAATTTCAAATTATATAATCATCATATTGAGTATAAGTCATTAAACAATAATTTACAATTACAATAATGTACAATTAATAAATTATACAGTGCAATTATAAAATGGTCTGCAGTGAGCAAGAAAACAGGAGGAACTTTCAGGAACAAAGTAATGACATCAAAAGCTGACAACTTATCTAAAGACTTAAAGTTATGATGTCATCACTTGGTTGAGCCACATGGGTATGCCCAATGCAGAGCAACTTTACAATCACAGTGTATATTAGAGAATTAGAAAAATAGAAAAAACAATAACTAGTTTCTATATATTGTTTAAATCATATAAATATAAACATCCACATCAAATCCGATACATAGCACTACTGTTTAAATCATTTAATTTACCTTCATCCATGCTTTCCCAGTCATCGTCATTGTCATCTTCATGATCATCACCATCGTCATTGTCATCTTCATGATCATCACCATCGTCGCTGTCATCGGCATCATCGTCACTATCATCTATATTTCCATCATTACTATTATCATCATCCTCCTTCTCCTCCTCCTCATTGTCCGAGTTATCTTCAGAACTATCATCAACTGAACTTAAGTCTTCTTCATTATCACTATCAACTGTCACACCTGACTCATTTATTTTACAACTTAAATCTGTTTTATGATCACCATCATCATCTGTAATATTGCCATTTTTTTCAAGTATTTCAGTATTATCATCTGATCTGTCTATTGAACTGCAACCAACTGGTATATCATCAGATTCCATTTTCTTCTACCTAATGATCATTATAAGAATACAGCACAATGTTAACTTTGATCCTGAAAATAAAATATTTTTAAATAATATCAAATTTTATTTTTTAAGAATTTACTTAAACAAAAAAAAATTTCAATAATCAAACATTAATATGGAATAAACTGCATCATTCTAATCTAAAATAAATAAATGAATAAGTATATATATTTATAACCCCTAGCTATTAACCATTGCATCCAAGAAGTGTGTGAAAGAACAAAGCCTAATAGGAAGGTTGTAATATAAATGTGAAAATACAGGTGAGGGTTAGCCCTCTAATCGTTGAATTGTGAGATCCGCTCACTAGGTCAGCAGATGACTTAATAGAAGGGTCTTAAAACGTTGAGTGGGGAGAGTTGTGGTTAAGTTTGATCGTTGTCAGATAATCAGGTTAAATAACAAAAAAAAAAAAAAAAAAAAAAAAAAAAAAAAAAAAAAAAAAAAAAAAAAAAAAAAAAAAAAAAAAAAAAAAAAAAAAAAAAAAAAAAAAAAAAAAAAAAAAAAAAAAAAAAAAAAAAAAAAAAAAAAAAAAAAAAAAAAAAAAAAAAAAAAAAAAAAAAAAAAAAAAAAAAAAAAAAAAAAAAAAAAAAAAAAAAAAAAAAAAAAAAAAAAAAAAAAAAAAAAAAAAAAAAAAAAAAAAAAAAAAAAAAAAAAAAAAAAAAAAAAAAAAAAAAAAAAAAAAAAAAAAAAAAAAAAAAAAAAAAAAAAAAAAAAAAAAAAAAAAAAAAAAAAAAAAAAAAAAAAAAAAAAAAAAAAAAAAAAAAAAAAAAAAAAAAAAAAAAAAAAAAAAAAAAAAAAAAAAAAAAAAAAAAAAAAAAAAAAAAAAAAAAAAAAAAAAAAAAAAAAAAAAAAAAAAAAAAAAAAAAAAAAAAAAAAAAAAAAAAAAAAAAAAAAAAAAAAAAAAAAAAAAAAAAAAAAAAAAAAAAAAAAAAAAAAAAAAAAAAAAAAAAAAAAAAAAAAAAAAAAAAAAAAAAAAAAAAAAAAAAAAAAAAAAAAAAAAAAAAAAAAAAAAAAAAAAAAAAAAAAAAAAAAAAAAAAAAAAAAAAAAAAAAAAAAAAAAAAAAAAAAAAAAAAAAAAAAAAAAAAAAAAAAAAAAAAAAAAAAAAAAAAAAAAAAAAAAAAAAAAAAAAAAAAAAAAAAAAAAAAAAAAAAAAAAAAAAAAAAAAAAAAAAAAAAAAAAAAAAAAAAAAAAAAAAAAAAAAAAAAAAAAAAAAAAAAAAAAAAAAAAAAAAAAAAAAAAAAAAAAAAAAAAAAAAAAAAAAAAAAAAAAAAAAAAAAAAAAAAAAAAAAAAAAAAAAAAAAAAAAAAAAAAAAAAAAAAAAAAAAAAAAAAAAAAAAAAAAAAAAAAAAAAAAAAAAAAAAAAAAAAAAAAAAAAAAAAAAAAAAAAAAAAAAAAAAAAAAAAAAAAAAAAAAAAAAAAAAAAAAAAAAAAAAAAAAAAAAAAAAAAAAAAAAAAAAAAAAAAAAAAAAAAAAAAAAAAAAAAAAAAAAAAAAAAAAAAAAAAAAAAAAAAAAAAAAAAAAAAAAAAAAAAAAAAAAAAAAAAAAAAAAAAAAAAAAAAAAAAAAAAAAAAAAAAAAAAAAAAAAAAAAAAAAAAAAAAAAAAAAAAAAAAAAAAAAAAAAAAAAAAAAAAAAAAAAAAAAAAAAAAAAAAAAAAAAAAAAAAAAAAAAAAAAAAAAAAAAAAAAAAAAAAAAAAAAAAAAAAAAAAAAAAAAAAAAAAAAAAAAAAAAAAAAAAAAAAAAAAAAAAAAAAAAAAAAAAAAAAAAAAAAAAAAAAAAAAAAAAAAAAAAAAAAAAAAAAAAAAAAAAAAAAAAAAAAAAAAAAAAAAAAAAAAAAAAAAAAAAAAAAAAAAAAAAAAAAAAAAAAAAAAAAAAAAAAAAAAAAAAAAAAAAAAAAAAAAAAAAAAAAAAAAAAAAAAAAAAAAAAAAAAAAAAAAAAAAAAAAAAAAAAAAAAAAAAAAAAAAAAAAAAAAAAAAAAAAAAAAAAAAAAAAAAAAAAAAAAAAAAAAAAAAAAAAAAAAAAAAAAAAAAAAAAAAAAAAAAAAAAAAAAAAAAAAAAAAAAAAAAAAAAAAAAAAAAAAAAAAAAAAAAAAAAAAAAAAAAAAAAAAAAAAAAAAAAAAAAAAAAAAAAAAAAAAAAAAAAAAAAAAAAAAAAAAAAAAAAAAAAAAAAAAAAAAAAAAAAAAAAAAAAAAAAAAAAAAAAAAAAAAAAAAAAAAAAAAAAAAAAAAAAAAAAAAAAAAAAAAAAAAAAAAAAAAAAAAAAAAAAAAAAAAAAAAAAAAAAAAAAAAAAAAAAAAAAAAAAAAAAAAAAAAAAAAAAAAAAAAAAAAAAAAAAAAAAAAAAAAAAAAAAAAAAAAAAAAAAAAAAAAAAAAAAAAAAAAAAAAAAAAAAAAAAAAAAAAAAAAAAAAAAAAAAAAAAAAAAAAAAAAAAAAAAAAAAAAAAAAAAAAAAAAAAAAAAAAAAAAAAAAAAAAAAAAAAAAAAAAAAAAAAAAAAAAAAAAAAAAAAAAAAAAAAAAAAAAAAAAAAAAAAAAAAAAAAAAAAAAAAAAAAAAAAAAAAAAAAAAAAAAAAAAAAAAAAAAAAAAAAAAAAAAAAAAAAAAAAAAAAAAAAAAAAAAAAAAAAAAAAAAAAAAAAAAAAAAAAAAAAAAAAAAAAAAAAAAAAAAAAAAAAAAAAAAAAAAAAAAAAAAAAAAAAAAAAAAAAAAAAAAAAAAAAAAAAAAAAAAAAAAAAAAAAAAAAAAAAAAAAAAAAAAAAAAAAAAAAAAAAAAAAAAAAAAAAAAAAAAAAAAAAAAAAAAAAAAAAAAAAAAAAAAAAAAAAAAAAAAAAAAAAAAAAAAAAAAAAAAAAAAAAAAAAAAAAAAAAAAAAAAAAAAAAAAAAAAAAAAAAAAAAAAAAAAAAAAAAAAAAAAAAAAAAAAAAAAAAAAAAAAAAAAAAAAAAAAAAAAAAAAAAAAAAAAAAAAAAAAAAAAAAAAAAAAAAAAAAAAAAAAAAAAAAAAAAAAAAAAAAAAAAAAAAAAAAAAAAAAAAAAAAAAAAAAAAAAAAAAAAAAAAAAAAAAAAAAAAAAAAAAAAAAAAAAAAAAAAAAAAAAAAAAAAAAAAAAAAAAAAAAAAAAAAAAAAAAAAAAAAAAAAAAAAAAAAAAAAAAAAAAAAAAAAAAAAAAAAAAAAAAAAAAAAAAAAAAAAAAAAAAAAAAAAAAAAAAAAAAAAAAAAAAAAAAAAAAAAAAAAAAAAAAAAAAAAAAAAAAAAAAAAAAAAAAAAAAAAAAAAAAAAAAAAAAAAAAAAAAAAAAAAAAAAAAAAAAAAAAAAAAAAAAAAAAAAAAAAAAAAAAAAAAAAAAAAAAAAAAAAAAAAAAAAAAAAAAAAAAAAAAAAAAAAAAAAAAAAAAAAAAAAAAAAAAAAAAAAAAAAAAAAAAAAAAAAAAAAAAAAAAAAAAAAAAAAAAAAAAAAAAAAAAAAAAAAAAAAAAAAAAAAAAAAAAAAAAAAAAAAAAAAAAAAAAAAAAAAAAAAAAAAAAAAAAAAAAAAAAAAAAAAAAAAAAAAAAAAAAAAAAAAAAAAAAAAAAAAAAAAAAAAAAAAAAAAAAAAAAAAAAAAAAAAAAAAAAAAAAAAAAAAAAAAAAAAAAAAAAAAAAAAAAAAAAAAAAAAAAAAAAAAAAAAAAAAAAAAAAAAAAAAAAAAAAAAAAAAAAAAAAAAAAAAAAAAAAAAAAAAAAAAAAAAAAAAAAAAAAAAAAAAAAAAAAAAAAAAAAAAAAAAAAAAAAAAAAAAAAAAAAAAAAAAAAAAAAAAAAAAAAAAAAAAAAAAAAAAAAAAAAAAAANTTCCTTTCCATTATGTAATATTCAGGTAATTTTATTTAAGCCCATTTCGCACACAGTTATATAAATTTTTTTATTAAAAAAACTTTAGTCACTTACAAAAAATGAAAAACTTGGTGTAAAATTGATTATGTAATTGGCTACATCATTTCTACGTAATATAAAATATTTCACAATTTTATTTACATTCATTTGTAAATTTTATTTAAATAAGAAAAAACGACTTGAGTTGCATTGTAAAATTGAATTTTCTTAAAGTGAGGAGGCGGAAAATTCAAAATAATTTAAGCAGAATAAATTGTGCACTCTGTGAGAAGAAGAAATCACATATCATGTGCTAATTTTGATCCCACACAGACCAATTCAAAGTCATTACATTTATTTCCATTCCTCCCCGAAACTCATGAGAGCAGCGGAGTTTTGGCAGGAAAGTGAGTTGCTGTCGATTATGTTTTTGAAAACCCAACTTTTACTCTACAGTGATATTTTGATACTTCCGAAATTCCGTGGACCATCTGAAGACGAAAATTTGCAATTAGAAAGAAGACATATCACAGATCATCAATCTGTCATATGTCTTAGCATTATTAGGACTATTATATACGCATACTGTATGTGGCCAGCAGCAAAGAATATAACAAATAAAAATACATGAATTGCGTGAGGTCTGTCATGTGGTCCAAAATGTGCTATACAAAGCATCATTAAGTTGACTGACAATTCTTTGCCTCTCCCCACATCATCAACTGAATGCAATTGGTTAATTAACCAGATGTTTGCAGGTCAAAAACATTGGGAGGGATGTGGGACACAATAGTGTATTTGTTGTTTATTGAAATGGGTATTGTTTAGAGTCTGGAAATGGATTAATGCACTTATTATTATTTCTAACAGAAAAAATTGATTTAGACTCCTAACAATTCAGAGTTCAAAGTGGCCTCCTGAAATGAATTAAATTAAAAATACAAGGTATTGACCTTGTATTTTTAATTTAATTCATTTAATGCAGTACTATTCTTTTGCATTCATTTATTCAAATATAACTTAAACATCTGAAAAAGTTCAATAATTTTATTTTATTTATAACATGCATTTTAATCTATTTAAAATTTTTACAAATTAATATATAATTGGCAGAATATCCAGTCACTTCTCCTAATAAGGGACAGGTATTCCTAAGAATTACTGGGTCATTGAATTTTGTGCAATGAAAATAATAAGGCTCATGGGGAAAAACAGAGCTAGGGAAATTCCTTCCCTTAAAATCTGTACAATCTTACAAAACATTTTATTTTAGATTTCTCTTACATAATTAAAGCTCATCTTTTTCAATTAATATTTGAATTCTTATACCCAGGATGCTTACTCATGTTGGAATACTATATTAAATACATCATACTTTATCACTTGATTTTTAATCAAGAAATGTACACAAACTCAATAGATCAGCATGATACATATTCATAGAACAACCAGAATAACCTATATAAATAAATTATGATGTAATAAAGAGGAGAAGAAATGTGTGTTTATTTGTGGGTCACTACATTCAGCTGAATCAAAGTTTTTGCATTAACATAATATTACTTTGTATAGTCTCTTATGATTTGCTACCTTCTATTATGTAACATTATTGACTTTAAAATACATACTATTCTGAGCTAATGCTCTTCTTAAGAGCAGTATTCCTGAAATCAGTAGAGTTCAATTTGAATTTTACAATGGTTTCCATGATAATTTCTACTTGTAATGATGAGCTGAAACGCTTAAAGTACTTAGAAATTAAAGAAAGCATTTTAAACATTTTCAATAAAACAGAAAATAGTGGACTTTAACAAGTGGAGAAGTAAGTTTATTTTCTGACAATTTAAACGCATTTATGATTTCAGCTTATTCTTTATTAAAATTATATAGATTTTATTTTATTTTCGTACAACTTTTTTCTTGTGCAAAGTATTTTTTAGTACTTTAGAAATGTTTACCTAACATCATATTATATGAAATTGATGTTTACCTAACATCAATTTCATATAAGCATTATACTAATTGTCAACAAATAATAAAACACTATAATTTTTCTAGGTTATTCTTATAACAGGAACTTTATCACTTAATAATTAATTTGAACTAAAGATAGATAGTGCATCATCTTAATCTAGGCTAATATTTTCTCTAAATGCTTATAAATTATTAAAAATATTTAATAAAATAAACTGTCTACTTATTACAATTTTATCTATATACTGTATTGATTGATCTGATATAAGGATCTTTTGCATTTTTGTAAACATTTTCTATAATCTTCCAGTACATTTTCCATTAAATGCTATAAATGTTCAAGCCTTTTATATTTGTTAAACAGCATTGATCCTTCCATTAACAAAAAATAAACAAAGTTCATATTTAGCCATACATTCATTTTACACTTTATGTAGAAAATTTATAATATAAAACATTAATGAAACAATTATATTATCTACTATATAAAGATGGAAAAAATGGGCATTTTCTGTCACAGTATGCCAAAAATGGCCACTAGGGGCACCCCTAGCTATTATTTAAATTAACAATATAAATTATTTTATATTTTTATAGTATAATATTCAGTATATTATTATTTTAATTTGTAATAGGAATTCATTATTATTATTTTTATCTATCTACTATATAAAACTTAAAAAATGGCCAGTCTTTGTCGGCATATCAAGCACCAGCAAAGCATAGTGGCAAACCTAGGAATTGCCAGAGTCCATGCTTGACTCATTTTGATGGTATTCAGCATGCATGCTGCTTGCTGTGTTATTTAAAAAGAATTGAATATAGTGATTTGGGTCATAGTGTATGACAATGAGAGTTATGCTTTTTAATTTCATTATTATGTTTTGAACTGGAGATGACATATTATGGTATTTCTTTGCAATCATAACAGAAATATGTAGTATCTTATTGTATTTTGAAAGTTATTTTACAAGAATTGGATGTAGGGATGTTGGTTTAAGCACATGACAATGATAGTTATGGGCAGTTCACTTTCAACAGTGTTCTGTCGAATGTCTCTGCACTTTAGGTAAACCATTTGTAATTACAGTAGAGCTTCGTTTATCCGAATCAATTGGGGACTGGGTTTGTTCGGATAACTTATTTTTCGGATAACCAATTATATATGAAAAAATATATTAATTTACCCCGTGTTGAAATTTTTCTCCAAAAGAGCTTTGCATTGGGAAGTGTGAGATCTGACCTCAGAGTAAGGCCAAAATTGTTCATTCCCCCCCTAAATTTTCGACATATGCGAAATAAATTTGTCGCCTCCTCGTTAAAATAACATTGTCAGAAAAAAGAATCAAATATCGATAGAAACTTATAACTTTCCCCTTTAATATAAACATTCAACCCTTGAACAATGACATTCCTCTGCTGCAATACAAAAAGTTTATAGTTAAAGTCTGAATTTGTCATTTTGTTTTGGTCCCGAGAACAACTTTAACCTCCACACCTGCAGGACCAACTCTACCTCTCACAATGGGGAATTACATGACTACTCTCCCCAGCCCAAAGCTGTAAAAGCGACTTCTTTCCCCCTCCTCGCGGGAGTCTCTCATCTACGGCTGGTCAGAAAGGATTAAATCTCAGAGAATTTTAACTTTGTGCGTCGATCAGAAGAATAAAAGCATAAACCTAACGTCTACGTTGAAATCTACTAGAGGTATGGAACAGTTAATGTAAACTCTCTCTCCACAAGTTAGGAGCTAGCGAACTAAATTCATTTCTCAAGATGTTAAATGTTGTAATCATTAATTTTTTCGTTAGTCTAATAAATCGTTGTTTCCATTGTTAAATGGTGTCATTTACTCACATATTGCCTAAGCCTCATCGACGACCCCTCTCACCTCCTCCACTCAACCTGACAAAAAGAATCCCGACTCTTTGGGACCGCATTCAAAATTTAGGCATCTTGACAAGTGAGCAGGTTTAACAACGTGTAGCCGAAAAGGGAGAGTCAACGGTTCCCGACCTCCGCGGCGGTTCACAGAAGAATACTGATTGCTGTCAAAATGAAGAACACAAAAAGCTTTCTCAGCACTGGAACATGCCTCTAGTGGCCAATGGTAGTAATTGCAACTAAAAGGCATGGTCTTATATGTGACACCTGAGTATATCTCTTATGCAATGAGTTAGAAGTAACTCAAAATGGGACTTACTTTATAGACACCCTGTTCTGTTATGGATTACTACTATTATTGTAAAATTGATAAGATTTATTAAAATGAAAAGGCAACTTTTTTATGAACCCAAATAAAATATATAATTTTTTCATATTTCGTGATTAACTAAAATATAACAATGATATACTTACTTTTTAAGAATTACACTGTATTACAAGCAGTGAAAACAAAAATTAAGTTGCTGGGAAAGCTGCTTTCTTCAACAGAAGTTTTTGCAAGACAGATTTACTAAAATTTCTTGTTTGTTATGCCAATTGTTGAAATGGTATATTCCTCAAAACATATAAGTTTTTTGAAGATTTCTATCTTCAACTATTTTAAAAACATAAAAAACATAATAATAATTAGGTGTACAATAATAATAAATTTTAATTTATTTTTTATATTTGTATTAAAATAATTACTTTATTATTAATAAAAACAAATTTTTTTGATTAATTAAAATTTTTAGCAGTTTATTACATTTTAATTTAAAATATTTTACATAAACTAATAATATTTAAAATTGTTTTAATATAATATCCTACGTCTATAAATTGCCAGCTCACTAGGAGCTGCTTTTTATTGTAAGAATATTAAATTCTATGGCAAATGCTTTTGTGAGGCCCAAGCAATACTTGAGCTCATGTGTTAAAAATATCATGAAGGTATCAAATCAAGGGATTGGGCTTTGATTCTAACGCTCATATAAACCGGAAGAAAAACCTAAATAAAATTGGGAAATAAAATTATTAATCAAGAGGAAAAAAGTTTTTAAATAACCTTAAAAGGAGATGCAGTGCTGCTGATATTATGTGTCAGACTTATAAGAATTCAAAACAATTAAATACAAGTAGGAGTTTCAAGGTGTGATTAATTTCCCTTGATCAGATTACAACACAGTGTCAAATTAAACCTGTGGTAACCCAAAATGGTCTATCATCTGTTTAGATACAAGAAACTGACCAATCAAAAGATAGAGATCCGGGGAAGAAAATCTTTTAAAAACATGGATCTCAAGGATAAAGGCAGACTTTTTCCCTGCTTCCCCTAGTGAAGTTAACTGTAGAGACTTCTTCCAGACTTCTCTCAGCTTCTGATAGTGTCAACCACTGTCGACACTTTTCCCAGCTAACAACTATAGTCAACTGTCCAAACTTTTCCCTGCCTCCATGAGTGACATCATCCTGTTTGATCTTCAAGCTATCATCCTTCGTCACAACCTCCCAAACCATCAAAGCATCGACTGACTGCCCCAGGGTCAACAACCTAACAGTCCAGAGCCACCAGAAGACAAAACACTAGATTGTAAGACTTAGTATAAATAAATGGGTTTGTTTGTCACTGCAGCTATTTGCCTCACTTTCCTTCATCCCATGTATGATAGTCCTGACATTTGGATATCACCAATTTGGCGACCTTCACACTTTCAATTCATACTGTTCTTAGAGCAATCCTTTAAATTTTAATGGTTAAGTGATTAATCATGAAATTTATAACTACAACAAAATAAATTATCATAATCTTATAATTTATATTTTGAGTTTCATCCATCTTAATTCAAGAAAATAAATTACTTCTGCTTTCCTTTGTTTTGGAACTACATTGCTAGATATTGGATCCATACTTCAATTCATCAACATTAGACTTAAAAATTTTATGTTCATATTTAATTCTAAAATTTTAGAAATGATAATAAATGTTTTATCAATGATTTTGTCATCAACACAGTACTCAAGCAGTTTAAGAATGAACTGAACTGTCTTCCAGCATAAAAATTCTTTACCTGAAAAGTTTTTAATTACAAGCAAGTACTTTCAACATTTCAAAATGTTATCTTCAGACAGAACACAAATAAAATTTATATTACAATTTTAAAAAATTGTGATTTAAATGTTAAAAATGTTAATAAAATTAAGAGAAATACAATAAGAAAAAGAATTATGCAACTATTATTCAATTGTAAAATTAAAAATTTGTTATTTTTTGCAGTATTGACTACAAAAATAATTTTTGATAATTAGACATATCTTTTGCAATTCAATAAAGGTGCATAATTTATTATTATTGAACAGATAAAGGAAACATTGAAGATTTCATCAGGAATTACCAACACAAACATCCACTATCACCTTGTCTACAGGAAGTGTGTTGACAGAAGGGTGCTGCATTCAGAGACAAGCAGAAGGAAGATGGTTTGAAATAATGCAAATTTATGTTGAAGAAATTCAAGGAGTACTTCAAATTCAATGCAGGACACACTAATGGGTGACAAGACTTGGATATTTAGTTTTGATCTTGAAACAAAGTTCAGTTTGGTGTTCTCCACTTTCTTCTTAGTGAAAAAAGTGCACCCATTCTAGGAATGCTGGGAAGCAAAGAGTTGTCATTTTTTCAGTAATAGTGGTTTCTTCACAGTGGTTGAATTAATAGATAAAAAACAGTTAATGCTGATTGGTATATTTCAAAATGTCTGCCAAAACTTTTTTAAAAAGTGTCCAAGAGTCATCCAAAAATTGGTCTAAGAGAAATCCTACTCTATTATGACTATGCAGGGGCCCATAAAGCTACCAAAATATTGAAACTTTTACAGAATTCTGGACTTCAGTTAATCCTACATCCTTCACATTCTCTAGATTTAGCCACTATGACTTTTTTATTTTCAAAAGTTAAAAATTTAATAAAAGGCCACAGGTGCTATATCCTCCAAGCTTTCTTGAAAGGCATAACACATTTATATTAAAAAAAAAAAATTGGGCTACTTGTTTTAAGTCTTGGTTTAGAAGACTGTAACTTTCCATCAATAATGAGGGAGAATATTTTAAAAAAACTGAAAATATTCTCCCTCAGCATTGATTTAAAGTATTTTAACAGCATACAATCTAAATATATAAAATTGCTTGTCCTGAATGACTGACTGACTGATTCATCATCGTCCAGAGCAAACCGCTGAACCTAAAGAGGTGAAATTTGGTACACAATTAGGGTATGTCATGAAAACACACATCAAGAAGGGATTTTTTTAAATTCCTCCACGGGGGAGAGAGGGAGAGGATTAAAGCTTAATCTGAAGAACGGCTTCTATTGTATTATTTTGGATGCAATTTTTGTTTTCTACTACATTTGGTCTTCATTGAGTACTTAGGTGTATTAAATCTATAACATTTCAGATATTGTTATAAATATGTTTATATATTTCGATTTTTTAACCAAATGTTTGAACTATTTTAAATTCAAATTTGTTATTGCATATTGGTTCAATTATAGAATGATTGTAAACGTTCCAGAAAATCGATCAAATTGAAAACAAATTTGTTTGATTCTCAGTGGTAGGTGATATATAATAATTACTATGATTATTGAAATACTGAATATAAATGGGGTTTGCTTGCAAAATCCACATGGGCGAAGTCGTGGGTAACAGCTAGTACTAATTATATGAATCCAATAATATTCTCTAATATTCTCCCCCATTTTGATATTAGGTAACTGATTTCTGGGGAATGGCTTTAGCATTTTTTCATGGGGGAAAAACCATTTTTCAAAATCAGAATCTAGAGAAAATATTCCACAGAATTCTTATTTTCATAAATCTTTCTTGGAAGTCACAACTATAAATTCTTTAAAGATTACGAGAACTCTTAATGAGACTATTATTCCTGAATCTTCATTCAGAAATTCTGTCTTATAAAAGCAAATCTTTTTCATAAAATTGACTAAATCTAAAATGAGGTATTAATTGTTATTGTCCTGCGAGCACTTTTGATGCAGTTATGAACATCCGTCTTCAGGTTTAAGGTTTTTTCTAAAAAACTTTTTGTTCTAAAGGTTGTTAATATTCTAAACTGTTAATGCCATTCCCTTTTCTAATTTAAAATCTGTTTCAAAAAACTGTTTGATTCTTTTTCTAATTGTTATTGATTTAAAAATTTTCATTTATAAATCGTTATATCATATTACTGCAATGGAATAAAATACAAAATGTACTAATTAACAAAACAGATGACACTTCCTTACAATGTCAATGTTATCTATATATTTACAACCTTTATATCCAAACTGAAATTTTATACTTTATTATTTTATAAACTTTACTGTACCAAGATATCTCTTAATAAATCATATTATTTGACACAAAATTAAACTTGAATTTAAAAATTCTTAAAAAATTTCAGTCATCAATCAGTTTCAAACTAATCTTATTCATAACATATTTCAAGTTATAAAATTAGCAAATATTTCATTTTGTTTTGATTAAAAAAAGTTTAAATATTTGCAAATTTTATAAAAAAAAGGCATGCAAAATTTAAGACCAGTCAAGATGACAAACACTCTGGAAGGACAGTGATTAGCACAACTGAAAATGTTGCTACTGTTAACTACCAGTTCTACTGTGGCATTTTTCAGTGTTTATGTAAAAATGTGAGATGGTGAACAACACTCTAGCTTACTCAGCACTGAACACCAGAACTTTTTAGCTAAGAACATGAATATCATCCCCACCATCCTTATAAGATTTGGCATCCTGATTTCTTTTTGTTCCCACAAATTCAAAATGAAATTGAAAGGGTATCATTTTGATATGATGAAGGATATTCAGATGGATTTACAAGCCAATGCTGAACTTACTACATATCAATGGACATTCTAATCATGGAAGAAATGTTGGGATTGTCATTTGAATGTAAAGGGGAACAATTTTGAGGGTGATAGCAACCAATAAGAGTTAAGGATTAATCCTGAAGAACAAGTAATTAAGTTAAGGGACCATCCATAAATGTTATCATGCTAAAATTCCACAATTTTAATCACCTTCCTCCATGTCACTCATTGATTAATATTATGACAAAGCTTCCCTCACAACTGATGTACTATTTTAATTATATAATGGATATTAACATAAATGATTTATTTACACTTTATCAAAATAAAACACTACATAAGAATATGATTACATTAAACAAAATTTTATTTTTGCTACACCTAGCTAGCAAGTTATTTCATTATCATGGATTTGTAAAGTGTTTTTCAACTGACACAATGAGGATGTTGAACAAATTCAAAAGTTGTTTCCATTCAGTCTATGAGATGCTATAGTCTATAGAATTAGAAATTATCAAGTGTATTTCCTTTTTCTTTGGTAATATTCTGAAAACAAATTAATTTTTCAAAAATTCAATAGACATTTTTAATAAGTCTAATAGTAAATAACTGCTTAATTTGTAAATACAACAGTGTACTTGGACCCAGTCTTGTGCCCTGATGGATATTGAATTTTTATGTACAATACATACAGAATTATCTTGTTTAACTCAACAGATCTTAGGAACAAT